TCCTCTGGCCATGTTGATGACACTGCACAGGGACGGCAGTGCAGGCCTGGAGAAGCTTTCRTCACATGTCGATGCCCACAGGACTGTGGAAGGGGGTGAGGGGCACTTCAGACTGACTCCAGGAAGCTCGGGGTTCCTTGTGCCCTGAGCTGCCCCTGTAAGGCCAAGGCTCTAGTGTGCTGGAATGGGTGGCAGGACGGGGCAGTAGAGGTGCTCACCGTGTGCGGATGCAGGAGGCCTCCACAGCATTGATGAGCAGGGAGCGGAAGCCCCCACTCTCCAGCACGTGCAGGGCGTGGATGGTGGCCCCTCCGGGAGAGCAGACGTTGTCTTTGAGCTGGCYTGGGTGCTCTTCCGAGTCCAGTAGCATCCTGGCGGCTCCCTGCAGCCAGAGAGGTACTCATGGGGATGGGCCATCGCCCTGCCTCTGCAAGCACCGTCCCCAGCCACTCCAGCACAGTAATAGCCAACTCCCCACCCATCTGCCCCTGTGGACAGTGTCAGAGYTGGCAAGGAACCACCCTCACCAGAGGATCAGGAAACACTGACCAGAAGGGCCTGGGCCCCAAGGCGGACTGCCAGGCGCCTTGGAAGTCCCATTTTAACACCGCCATCAGCCAGGGCATCCAGGGCAGTGAATGCCTGCAAGGAGAAGGCACCCTGAGCCACTGTCCTGGCCTCTCTTCCTCTCCCTCTGTGGCCCAGAGCTCAGTGCCAGAGAGCACCAGTTCCCACAGCCATGAAGTTCCCACCCAGGCCTCCAAGGGAAGCAGGAACAGAGGGTACCCCAGAACCCTAGGAACTTCCAACTCCCCCCAGTCACCACCCATTACTACCAGCCCTCACATAGGCAGGGCCACTGCCACTGAGCCCCGTGACAGCATCAATCAGGTCCTCCTCCACCTCTGTGCAGAAGCCCACGCTGCCTAGGAGCTGTTCCAGGAGCCTGCCATCCTCCACTTGGGCATGGGTGCCCGTGGCATATACGGTAACCCCCTCTCGCACCACAACTGGAGTGTTGGTCATGCACCGAATAACCTTGGGCGCTGGTCGAAATGCTGTCAGTTTCTGGAGAAGAAACGGGGTGTGTCACCCTGGCCTTGGCCACCCATCCTCACCCCAGGTAGGCATAAGTATGGACATGCTGTCCTAGTGGAACATTTCCTGACCACTCACAGATGTAGAGCCCAGGCACGGAGCTCCTGTGTGCACTCCACATCCCCACCCCCACCCCAGCAGGCCCCGTGAGCCCAGCCCACAGCACCCACCTTCTCAATGGAGCTGATGGTAACACCAGCCGCACAGGACACCACAATGTGCCTGTCCTCAATGTCAGAGCCAATCTCATCCAGGATGAAGGGGATGATATGCGGCTTCACGGCCAGGAAGAGCACGTCACTGTGCCGCACAGTCTCCTTGTTGTGGGGTGTCAGGTTCACCCCTATCTTCTGCAGAAACGTAAGGCAACTCAGACTGCCCCAGAAGTTGTCCTCCCCTCTGCTTCACCCAGGGGCTGCTGGGCCAGTTACAGCACAGAGCCTGGAACACCCTCAGCTGCCTTCTCACCCAGAAATGTAGGAAGCACTCTGTTCTTCAACGAGTCCCCTTCGCAGACAGAAAAGGGACACTACATCCAAGCCACAATCCCATCCCCCTCCCCATCTCAGGATGCAGCCTCCAGAGATGCCTGCTCTTCAGGTATGGGTAACAGTCTCAAGTTGAAAGCTTGCCTACCCTTAGATCTGCAATCCTGACTCAGAGGTGACAAACTGAAGCTGTATTCAGCCCCAGGTGTGTCTTGTCTGGCCTTCTGTTATGGCTCCATCTGCCTGACTCCCAGAGGCTCCCTGTGAGCACTGCTCCCACCAGCCTTGCATACCACCAGCAATGGAAGCCATCGGCAGGGCCAGGAGGCAGGACCTGGAGACACTCTGGCCCAGGCACAGCCACTGCCAGGGCTGCCCAACACCCAGCCCCAGACACTGACTCTCGGAACCCAGCCTTCCTGCCTACCCTCTGCCCAGTACCTACCCTCAGGGCAGAAACTGTGGCCAGGTCCATGTCTGGGGAACTAGCCATTATCTTGTGGGCAGCCAGGACACCTGGGGTGGGCAAGACAAGTTTTCCTCCCTCAAGGCCAATTCCGGCCTCTCTCTCTCCCACCTTTGGGGGRAAGAAGCTGCAGAGAAATCCCACCCTCAGGATAAAAGAGGAACCCCAAACATCTGGAAGCTTCCAATCCCTTAGGACTCAAGCCATGTAACTCAGACCCCCACCTTCAGCCCCRGCCCTACCCAGGGTAAGGGGGCCCAACCTCATCCACTTGGTCCCTTCTTGACCCCAGAGTCTACCTGCTGATGTGAAGCCCTTGGCTAGTGCGAAGGCCAGCTGGCCAGCCCCGATGAAGCCCACGCTCATGATGCCTGGAGGCCGGAAGCCCGAAGCCCTCACAGCTGGTTTCGGCCCTGCAGGGTGCGATGGAGAGCTGGAAGTTAGGTGGTCAGCACCAGGGCTGGCACTCCCCAGGCGGCCAGGMGTCCCCCGACCTCCTAACCCAGCCAGCCTAACCGGATGTTGCCCCTCCGTCCCGCTCGGTAACTGTCCCAGCTCCCCCCACCCATAACAACGCAGTCCCCAGCCCGCTGTCGAGGGTCGCAAGCTCTCTGGACGAGCCAGGGAGCCGCCGGGAATGAGAGAGGACCGGGAGAGGACCCAGCGCCAGGAGGCCCTCCGCGTCCGAGCCCCCGCCTGCCCGCGCCCCAGCAGCAGAAGGTCCGCGGCACCCCCGCCCACCTAAACCCGCGCAGGTAGTCCCGCCGCAGCGCCGCGCCCGCCACGCGGCACCCGCGCCCCGGCCCCGCCCCCTCTGCCCCGGCCAATCCTCGGTGCAGCCGCCGCGCGCCGGCCAATCGGGAGCGGCGACCGGAGCCTGGGGTGTTGCATCATTCCGGAGGCCGGCCCGTCGGCCCCGCCCCACTCCGGCCGCCGCGGGTGGGAGGCGCTAGCGCTTCCAGGCAGCGGCCGGGAGACCCCTCCGGGTGGGTGTCTCCTGGGTAGAGCTTCCTCGCAGACCACCTTTGGAAGCTGGCCACTCTGTGGTCACAGGCCTCTACACACACTCCGAACAGGTGGTGTTCAACTCGTAAATTGGGGAGGACGATCCTGTAGTGCCCCAGCTCCCCAAGTTCCTGGAACTTTTAGGCCCTGGGTTTTAGGGAGAACAGGACTGTAGTCATCCTTCCCGCGCCCCAGGGCATGCCCAGGACCTATTTCCCTGTGTTGGGGCTGCAGGGTAGTCTAGCACCATGGCATAGTAAAAAGTGATCACCACGACAACCCATCCCCCCACCGAGGGCAGAGGTGTCCTGTATCATTTTTTTCTGTTCTGTGTCTTAAATGAGGACCAGCTGTGGGCCAGGTGCAGTGGCAACGCCTGTAATCCCAGTGGCTCTGGAGGCTGAGGCAGGAGGATCACCAGAGTTCAAAGGTTTAAAGCCAGCCTCAGCAACATAGCGAGGCCCTGTGCAATTTAGTGAGATCCTGTCTCTAAATAAAATATTTGAAAAAGGGCTGGGGATGTGGCTCAGTGGTCAAGCACCTCTGGGTTCCATTCCGGATTACCAAACACCCCCCTCCCAAAAAAAAAAGGGTGAGGACAAGCTGCTTCAGAAAATAACCTGAGAACGATTAAGATGTTTTGTCCTCCAGGCCTGGCTGCAAACTCTGTCCTGTCCCCCTGGTTTCCTTCTCCTTGACATCTAACTGTCACCACCAACACCAGGGCCCTGTTGGTAGGGAGGAGTTTGGTCTTTGCACTCCAAGGGAGGGCCTGGGGTCATGGTGGGTTTCCACAGTGCAGCTCAGACCCGTGGCAGGAGGCCAGGTCTGCTTTACACTCCCAGAACAGAGCTCCCTGTGTCAGGTCACTGTTCTCCAGGCGGTGACCACACATCTCACTCTTTCCCAAAAACAAAGCAAAGACCATCCTCTGGTCCCGGGAGAAACCATGGCAGGACCAGCCTGAGAGGAGCCTCCCAAAGCCCTTCTCCCAGGCCCCTCCTCGGCAAAGCCACTGGGCAGTGAGGAGGGGGGGTGGGGGGGTGGATGGGGGGGATGGGCGGGGGGGGGGGCAGAAAGCCACTGGGCAGTGAGGAGGGGGGGCGTGGGGGTGGGGCTTGGTGACAGGTACTTTGTTTCAAAGCTTTGTCTCTCGGAGGAAGGAAAGAAGAAAGCAGGGTCCCTCCTGGATCATGTCCAGCCCTCCCCTGAGAGTCAGGATGGACGTGGCCTACCTGCTCCTTTGTTATCTGGTGACATGACCTCCTGACCCCAGCTTTCTGAGCCCCAAGACCCAGTAGCTGTCTACCTGCCCTTGGGGATCTTCTGTCTACCTGGCCTTGGGGATCTGCTGTCTACCTGCCCTTGGGGATCTGCTGTCTACCTGCCCTTGGGGATCTGCTGTTGAGCCCTAAGCACCCACCCCCTCCAAGTAGAAGACATGGGTCCAGATCCAGCTTGTTGACTGACTCCAGGTGCCCTCTCCAGGCAGCCAGCCAAGGCCACGTGGCTTACGTGGTACCACAGGACCATCGGGGCCTGCCTCRGGGCTGCTCAGAAGCTGTCAGCAAGGGCTGTCCAGAAAGGGTAGCAGCACCTCTGCCCCTGCCCCAAGTCTCGGAGACTCCCAGGTGGAGGTGTGGGATGAGTGCCCAGGCCTCTAGGAAGGAGGGGGCTGAGCTGACCCTCCTTCCCCCACTGGCCCATCTGAGCCCTCCTGGACGGTCACCCCCCAAGGAGGAGAGCACTGCCTGTCCCTTTCACGGAGCCCAGTTCCTCAGGAGATGAGGCCCAGCCTTCCCTGCACTCCAGAGCCCAGGGTGCTCCTAGGGCCACGTCTTCCTTCAGCCAGGCCCCAGTGCAGACCCTCCTCCCAGGGCATGCCGGGAGCCCAGGAGGTGTCACCGGGCACAGCCCCTCAGCAAAGAAGGCTTAGCCACAGCTGGGGTGCAAATAAGTCTCCTTTTATTGACTGCTCAGGGTCCTGGGAACAGCCGTGAGCTGAGGGACTGACAACTGCTGCACACATGCTCCTGCTCTGGTGGCCGGTGGCCTGCCCTGGGCTGGGCTCTTGTGCAGGAGAAGCTGGCTGAAGCGTGGAGGATGTGGGTGCCAGTGGGCCCTGATGGTCAGGAGCAGCAGGCAGCTAGATGCCTGGTGCCCAGGCTCCATGTTCTAGCGACTGCCCCAGGCCGGGCCCTTACCCGTGTCAGGACTGCCCACCAGGCCAGCCTCCCGCAGGAGTCTCTACAGAAGCTGCTGCGTCACAGCCCATGGTGGGCACTGGGCAGGGCCTCCATCACTGGGAACCCAACACCTTGGCACTCTGCTCTGGTGGTGCTGCYAGCTCAGCAGGCCCTTCCAGGCCACCAGCACCATCTCCAGCCTCTGAGCTCTGGAAGGCAGCCCTGGGTGGCCATAGCACGGTCCTCACTTGGCTCCCCAGAGGCCCGTGAGGCAGGGTCCTGATTCCTGGGCTCCTCCTCTGTGAGCTGGAGCAGTTTCCAGCAGAGCTCCCTCCCCAGGGTTCTGGGCACTGCCCCTTCAAAGGAGGAGGAGGTTCCAGTCCACTCCAGGGGCCTGACTCTGGTGCTCCTGGGCTTGTGTGGGACCCTTCCCACTCCTCTGGGAATCGTCCACTTTCTAACATGTCACCCAGCGTGAGTGCCATGTCCAGACACTGAAGGACATGCTGCTCCACCTCTCAAGTCCATTTAGCCTGCGTGTCCCCATCTCTAAAACGGGTCCCAGCAGCACCTGCTCCAAGGTTTCCCACATGAGGGCGGTCAGTATTGGACCCAGGGAGGACTGGGAAATGGAGAGATAGAGAGAAACACAGAGACAGAGAGAGATGAGAAACAGACAGAGACGGGAAGAGATGGGAAGAGAGCTGCCCTGTCTTCCTGCCCAGGGCCTGGCCCCACCCTTCCTCAGACCCCATCCAACCCAACCTCAGAGTGGTGCCAGAAGTCCAGGAGCGTCCTCTGCCCATGGCACACGTCTACTCTAAGCCCTCCGACTCCYTCCTGCTCGCCCTCACGTCTGTTCACCTGGGTCACCCACGCATGCCTGTAACCCCCAGCCAGAGAGTGGAGGTGGGCCAGTGGCCACTTGCCAGGCTACAGGGTGGGCACGAAGCGGATCCTCTGGGAGTAGGCAAGGTCGACGATGTAGAGGAGCAGATTGACGTAGGTGAAGATGGCTACCACCAGCTGGCTGTCCCAGGGGCAGCTGCCGCGGGGGCAATCGGGGGGCCTCCTGGGCTCCCCGTACTTGGGATCAAAGCAGAAGACCGGCCAGATCACAGCGGCGCTGAGGTACAGGAGCACAGCCAGGAAGGTGTACACCACCACCAGGCGGTCGAAGGGGCAGCCCAGGCCCCCCGTGTGGCCCATCACACTCAGAGCCACCACGGCCACTGTGGCCAGGAAGCACAAGCTATAGACGGCCACACACCACTGGGTGGCCATGTAGCGCCCATAGCGGCTGTCATGGACCAGTGCCCCAAAGATGATGCAGGCCACAAAGGCCTGGACGATCTTGAGAAGCCCTGACACTGTGGCCATGTAGCTGGCCACCTGGCCAGGCCGGGCCCGTGTCAGGGCCACCTCCGCTGCGTAGGCCAGGAAGAGGAGCCCAGCAAAGACGCTGGCCGCCAGGCGGAAGTCCCTAGCTGCGCAGCCAGCAGGCTCAGGTGGACACTCCAACCGGGTGAAGTACAGTGGGTAGACGACGGCAGCCGTGGCACACAGCAGCGTGGCCAGCATGGYGAAGGCCGCTGTGAAGTTGCCCCAGGAGAGGCGGAGACAACCATGGAGCTGTGTGAACTCACAGGCCACCACCAGGAGTGACACTGCGAAGCAGAAGCCCCAGGCAGCCATGCAGAAGGTGCCCTGGACGCCCGCAAAGCCGCCCCGGTGGGCAACCAGGCTGAAGGTGGTGCAGCCAAAGGCCAGCTGCAGTACCCGGGCTGTGCCCACTGGGGATGTCACAGCACCCAGGTGCAGGTATGCACCCCCGGGGGGCTCCACGGTGCTTCCCATCTGGCCAGCCACCTCCTGGCTTCACGCAGTGCCCCACGGCCCTGGGGTTCCTGATGGCCTGGGGGCCCTCTGTCCTCTGCAGTAGTGGCAGGTGCCGGCAGCCTGCAGCAGCAGTGACGATGGTGACATTGCAGCAGGGCAGCCTCTCAGCCGCCTGAGTGGTGAGCGCCCCCCTCCCTGCAGCTATAAATAGACAACCTCCATCAGATCCCCGGAATAGCAGCCTCTGTGCCTGTCCACGTCCAGGAGGAGCATCTGACCCCTGCGTCCCACGCAGATTCTCTGCTGGGACGTTAACCCCTGGGCTGCCTGAGCACCTGCATCCTTCAGTCCGGTCAGTGACGGGGGGCGGGTGGGGAGAATGCAGAGAGCAGGGGCTGCCCCCTACACCCAGCCCCAGCAGCCTCCAGAGCCAGCTCTGGGGGAGGGGCACAGGAGGTGGGAGGACCTGGGGGGCTCCCTTCTTGTCACTCACCCCACCCCTCCCAGACAGTGCCTCTAGAGTTCTGCTGGGTTTCAGAACCCTGTTGTCCTTGTCCCTGGAGCTCTGGGGAAGGGGAGTGAAGTGTGGAGACCCCAGGCCACTTGTCAAGAGTCCATCCTCGTTCTGGCCATGATCTCCAGCCTGGCCCTGTCTTTGGTGCTGGGGATTGAACCCTCGGGGGCTTTTACCCCTGAGCTACAYTCCTAGTGCTATTTATTCAGTCAGTTTTTACTGAGGACGGACCCGGGTGTTCAGCTGCTGAGCCTCGACCCCAGCCATTTGTTCTATTTCATTTCATTTTGATGCAGGGYGTTGCTGAGTAGCCCCGGCTGACTGGGAATCGCAGTCCTCCTCCCTCAGCCTCCAGAGTCTCTGGGATTACCGGAGCGCTGCCTGTTTCATGTTATTTATGGTTTATTTATTTATTTTGAGACCGGATCTTGCTGTGTTGCCCTCAAACTTCTGGGCTCAAGTGTTCCTCCTGCCTCAGCCTCTGGAGCAGCTGAGACTACAGRTGGGCACCACTGTACCTGGCTAACTGTACCTTGCTAAATGCCTTACTAAGTTGTTGAAGCCGGCTTTGAACTCATGATCCTCCTGCCTCAGCCTCCGAATCGCTAAGATCACAGGTGTGCACCACCACACCTTATTTTTTTTTTTTTTTAGTTGTCAGTGGATCTTCCATTTTTATATTTATATGTGATGCTGAGGATCAAACCCAGGCAGGGCCTCCTACATGCCAGGCGAGTGCTATACCACTGAGCCACAACTCCAGCCCTCCATTTTTTTTTTAATTTTAGTTATTTTGTATGTATTTATTTTATGTATTTATATGCGGTGCTGAACCCAGGGCCTCACACATGCTCGGCAGTGCTCCACCACTGAGCCCCAGCCCAGCCCACGCCCTCCATTTTTAAACTGAGTTCTATGTGTTTGTTTTTGGTGCTGTGGATTGACTTCAGCACCTTGTACATGCTATGATCCCGCACCCTCTCACTGAACTGTAACTCCAACCCCATGCTGAAATTTTAATGCATTATGAAGTGTTTCTGAAATGGTAAGCAAATTCAGATTGTAAAGCTAGTAGATGCTCAGACCCAGTCAGTAAAGAAAAGAGAAAGAAGGAAGCATTACCTAAAATTCCACCGCATCAAACCCCTGTTAAAATGTCATGGTGTCGGCCCTGGGGAGGTGGCTCAGTCAAGAGCACTTGCCTGGCACGGGTGAGGCCCTGGGTGCCAATGCCAGTATGTGCATGAGCGCGCACACACACAAAGAATGTCCAGGGCTGGGTTGTGGCTCGGTGGTAGAGCACTTGACTAGCATGTGTGAGGCACTGGATTAGATCCAAGGCACCACATAAAAATAAACAAATGACATAAAGGTATTGTGTCCATCTACAATTAAAAAAATACTAAAAAAAGGACCGGGGATATAGTTCAGGTGGTGGAGTGCTTGCTTCACATGCACAAGGCTCTGGATTCAATTCCCAGCAACACACACACACACACACACACACACGAATGTCCTGGTGTATCTTCATAGATGTTCCCTCAGCTTGTAGTCAGAAGAACTTCAGATCTGGGGAAGAGTTGCAAGAGTGTGACCAACACAGTGCCTCCTTCCCCCAGAGTCAAGGATTTTCTTGGTGTGTGTGCGCGCCCAGGAACTGGTCATGGTGTGCCCTGTCTGCACCTCCATTAGTTAGTTAATCAATCAGCTCTAGTTCTAGATGTGACAGTGTGGCCCTAGACACTTCCATAGTGGCCCCTCAGAGCAAGGCCATTTTCCTAGAGAAGCACGACATAGCGATGATGTCCGGATCCACGTCCCCACCTGTCCTTGGAATACAGATCTGACCGGGGGATGCCCTGGGGTGGCCATCCGGGCCTCCACCACTCTTTACTCTAGAGCCGTCCTTCTTTGGGTGTCGTCACACTGACCTTTGCAGGACYTTCACAGACTGGCCTTCAGAACGAGTCTGTCTGCCTGTTTCCTCCTGGTTGGGCTCCAAGCTGAAGGCTGGTGGCAGAAAAACCCGGCAGGGGACATCTCATGTGACAGTTCACCCAGAGCCTGTGAACGTCAGCCGTCTGGTTGGGGCCCCCACTCAGGTGTCCACTTGGTCCCCAGCGGCCTTGCCCAGGGGTCTTGGCGTCTGTTGATGCTTCTCAAGGGCAGCGTTCTCTCGGAGCTCACCCTGCTCCTGCGCTCCAGGGTGTCCCTGGGGACCCTTCCACAGGAGTCCCTGCAGTACACAGAAACACCTCCTGGGCCAACAGGTGTGTGCCGTTGCGTCTGGCASCAGCCACTGTTTGTGCGGGGACCACGGAGCTGATCCCCACAGCCCATCTCTCCATCTCAGTKTTGCCAAAGCAGCAGCAAGGGCCCGACCTCAGATCTCCTCACCACATTGGTCCGGTGGTYACGGATGGTGCTAACCTTCTTATCTATTTATTTACTTTTTTGGTTCTGGGGATTGAAACCTGGGGTGCTCGACCACTGAGCCATAGCCACAGCCCTTTTAAAAATATATTTTTTGGACACAGGGTCTTGCTGAGTTGTTTAAGGCCTCGCTCAGTTGCTGAAGCTGGCTTTGAACTAAGATCCTCCTGCCTCAGCCTCTTAAGCTGCCAGGCCATCTCAACCTTCCTGGTGCCACCAGCCCTTAGGTCCAACCCCAGAGCCAGTCCCTCTGCCCCTACCCTTGGCCTCTACTTCTGTCCGCCCACATCTGCCACCTAMGAGCAGCTGGCTGTGGCACCTGAGGCACTGGGCACTTCGGGGCAACCTAGCCTCGGCACTGCCAGGGCCTATGGTGTCCCCAGGGGCATCAGGCTGGCCTGCACAAAGAGGCAACAGAGGTCTCAACCAAGGAAAGACCATCCTAGGAGCCCTGCGGGGCACCTCAGAGTGACCAGTGGACTCTGGGTTCTGAGCGAAAGTGACCCTGGAGGCCACCATAGCAGTCCCAGAGTCAGCAGCTGTGACTGCCTGCAGCCCCAGAGCCGTGGGCGGGCTCCCTGCCAGCCCCCTCCAGGCCCACCTCAGCCTGCAGGGACCCGGCCAGGAGAAGGCTGTGTCCTCCAGGGGCTGCACTGGGATAGGGAGGAAGAGGGGATGGGGAGTCCTGGGCTTGTCAGAGGCCAGAAGGCCCTGTGGGCTGGAGTCTGGGGAGGGCGGTGCCAGCCGAAGAGGTCTCCTTATCACCCTTCTGCACGCGCCGATGCTGAAGCTGTTTAGCCCTGGCTCCCAGCCACCGCCCCACCCTCCGTCCCACAGCGGCTCTCCCCAAGACCTTGGGAAGCACCTGGCTTGGTGGACCACCCAGCCTCGGTGTCTGCCTCAGGGTGTGGCTCTTCCTGACCCACCCGCCAAGGTGTCCCCTAGGGGCACAAGTGTCCCCTAGGCTGCGTGAGGCTGGGCTCCCTATTCCCCCACCCCTTCTTGCCTGTGGGTGGGGGTCAAGCCTCCATGTTTTCACCTAAAGATGAGAAATGAAGTGTCCAGAGGAGCAGAGGACGGGGTGTAGGCACAGCCACCGCCCCAGCCCTGGTGGCTGTCTCCCCTTCTTATTATCAGCTCCTTCTCGGAAGAGRGGCCTTCAGGGGCTGTGTGAGAAGAAATGGGAAGCAGAATCTACCTCCTCTTCTAGCCACTGGGCTCCCAGCCACCTTCCCAAGGCTGACCCCRAGACCCTCATGCAGCACCTAGCTTGGTGGGAGTCCAAGGCAGAAGGATGGCTTTGGCCCTGGAGTTGAGGCCAGCAGGCTCATATAGGGAGACCCCTGTCTGAACAAAGTGCTGTGTGCTCTGCTGCCGGGCCTGTGCCCACACAGTGGGCTTCTGTCTCTAGTGGGGCAGCCCCTGGTCCTCACCCCCTGACCCTGTTACCCACCGAYGTGCTCAGCACCCTGGGCTGGGAAGCAGACTGGGCAGCTGATCCAAGGCTGGCCCAGAAAGCCCAGAGCAGCTCCAAACACGGGCTGTGTCTCAAATCCCAGACACCAGGGCCCCAGCAGTCAGCCAGCCACCATCTGCCTGGACTCACAACAGCAGACTCTGWGTCACCTGCTCCTCAGGGGTGGAAACGAAGGGTCAAGTTTGCGCAGCAAGGGAGCCGCAGGCCACCCAGAGGCTCAGCAGTGTGGGGGGTGCCCTGACCTCAGTGCGGGCTGGCAGGCGCCCTAGGGTCACATTGCAGAAGATAGAGGACAGGCCTGCGGGGGTCGTGGGAGGAGCCTGCACAGGCACCTGGGTGACACCATCCACTGTTCCAACAAGAGGCCATGTGGGTGGGTAGGCCTCAGAGACCGGGGGTGGGGGGGGTGAGGGGGGGGGCTGGGCTAGACCCCAGAATGTCCCCTGCAGCTACTTCTAAGAGGGAATACGCTGTCGGAAGCTGCCACACAGGAACCAAGCGCCCCTTGGCCCCGAGAGATGGGAATGTGGATGTGGGGAGCCAGCCGTGGGCTGAGTGTGTGGACTCTGGGCACTGGGCGCACAGGGTGGGCTGAACTCCTGTGGCCCCTCTGTTTGGGCAGGCC